ACTGCAGTATGGTGGCATTCATCAGCCTTTTTCAGAATACATATTTTGCCATGATTAAATAAACGGTTTTCCCCCTGGAATTTTGTTTTGGTCACAGTCATTCATTTATGAGCGCACAATTCCTCTGTTGTGTGTAATGCTATGGCATGTGATCTACATGTACATGTACTGTAGTTGGGTCACTTTTTATGGTTCCTGGCACTTTTATGGGATCACCAGTTTGCAGTAGATCTGCACTGTACATGTACATGTACTCTGTGCGAGTTGGCATACATTTTGATGTTTTTACAGTGCATGCTCTTACATCTAATGCATGTACACAGTATGTGATGAACAGCCCAACTGTCAATTTGCATTATTTAACTTGCTGTGGAATTCTGCTTAACACTTTTGCCAATCCTTGTAGTTAATAAAGATGAAGATAAAGCCACATAAAACTCAAAACACGGACTGATTGAGGCAATTTTTGAACTTTCCAGTTGATGTGTCATTTTATTTGTCTCCTCCATTCTTTAGGGTTGTTTCAGGGGTGTGTTGGTTAAAAGCATCTGGAATCCATGCATTATTCATGGTTTGGCTTTTTTTTGAGAGCGAATTTTTAATTTTTTTTCACAGCCCACTTCGTGCTGGGTCCATTTATCCATGTTGATTCTGCTGGGCCGGGTGATTTTTCATTTTTTCTTTAAAAATTCATAACCTCATTTACTAGATGTTTACACCCACACAAATGGCTGTCGGGTGGCTACTCTAATCTGACAGAGAACATTTATTGATACTTAAGTAATTCAGCCAGGCCTGCTGCCTTGTAAAAAGAACCCAGATTGTGTGGTGTTACATGTATGTAATTTTCTTTTGTTCCCGAAATAGGGGCCAGATTAGCCTGCAGCGGCATTATATCGCTCATCACTGGAGCGCTGGAGCGCTTTTATACCTGGTGGTAATCCACTTGCGCTGAATTCCACAGACAGTGGTATAATCTTTCAAAACAATTACGGATTTCCTCCGCTATTGACAACTGAAAAAATGTTGGCAATTCCCAGCAGCTCAGTCTTTTGTTCTGAGTGCGGTCTTTTGTTGCAAGGCCCAAGCTCTTTTGTCTGGTTTCGGGCAGCCTGGCATTAGGTATAAAGAAAATGAACCCGAAACCGTGTCTCCCAGCAGCAAGTGACTAATAAAGATCATTCAGTCACCAAAATGTAAAACAGCTAACCTTGTCACCTAATGCCTATGGTACAGTTGTCAACAGGTATGATAGCTGTTCATTTACATGTACATGCAGTTAAGAAAACGGGGCAGGCCCCTTCTTCATAAGGAAACTCGGGACAGAGTCATGGGGATCTGACCCCATAATTTTTTGGTCCCTGTAATGTCTACATGTATATTGCCACCATGAGTGTAGTCCCCATAACCTGACAAGTACATGTATACATTGTACATGCATTGTGTAAACTTGTGACATCAATGATTTGTGTGTTTGAAGTTGCCAGGTATGATGATGACATTGTTTTCTGAGACACACTGGTAATTTGCAGAGTTTACATATTTCATTTGTTGGGTCAAAGTGCCAAGTACCATTATACATAATACAAAGCCCCATACCCAGTACGTTGTTTGTATGTCCCTGGGACATTGTTTACATTCATTGCACATTGACCTGTACTTACCATACAGTTTCTTTCATGGAGTTACCTGAGCATTGATTCAAAAGTAAGCAGGATAAAATGTCCATTATGATCGAGATTTCATATCTTCTGGATTTTCCCATTACATTTGTAAATGAACAGGTACGTATAGTATATCAAATACAAAATGCTTTTTTTTACCTGAAACAAAAAAAAACAAATGTAGTTGATTTTGTAAAAAAGAGAAATATGGAAGGGCTGCGTAGCACCGTGATCAAAATATCGACGAGAATAGAATATCAAATCAGTGCTGTGAAATATGTGATTGCCCAGCTTTCGTTAACTGAGTACCTTCCTCAGGGCAAGCAGATTCAGTTCTTAATGAACGCAGAAAAATCCACGTTCATTCCCCCTGGATGCAGCATTCCAAGTTCGAAAAATGACGCGCTGCTCCAGTTCCTTACGCTGTACATCAGATGACGCTTTCCGCAGGATGCAGACGCTTACGTCACCGAGAGTATGTGGCGGTGCGCAAAAGTGCTGCGCAACAGCGAGACCAGGTGTTTGTTGGCACACTCTGCGCAAGTGTTCCGTCAAGCGGTCACCAAGGTGACGCTTGGTCTCTCCGATGTACAGTTTACCACAGCGACGACATGTAATGCAAGAAACCACATTACTAGTAATGCATGTATGACCCCCCGTATGCTGTAGCTACCGCGGGGACCAACGACCGACGGGCTGTTCACTATGTAGGAGCCGGTGTTACATGTACATCTGGGGCACTGACAAGGGAAATTGCTGCGTGCTTTTGACGGTGAGACGGAATCCAACTTACAACCGTGTCCCCGACAGAATGATCACGCCTAAACATGCGAATCAGAGGTTCAGTGAAAATGGAAGATGTGGCCGCATCATTTCCGAGTGTACGGAAATGTTTGAGAAGAATATTACGTACCGGGATGTTTCGAGGGCAGTATGTGAGTACGAGGGGGATGGGATCACTTTGCTTGGCCCTGGTGGGTTTCAGAGCCGTTTGGCGCGGGATTGAAGATACGGCATTGAAGGTAGCATCTGTGATAAACGGAGGGTAACCGCGCTGATGAAAGAAACCTAGCATTTCCTCCCTTCCTTCGGAGAAAACTCCGCATCGCTACTACAAATCCTGTGCAGTCGAAGAAACTGAGAGTAAGGGATGGAGATCTTACACTTGAGGGGGTGAGACGATTGGTACTGCCAGTAGCTGTGGGAATCTGTGGGTTTGTAATGCAGGGTTGTACCAAGTTTTCACGCACAGATCTGGACGCGCACGTCGAGGAAGGTAACAGAGTGCTCTGACACATTAGATGTATAGCGCAGTGCTGGGTGAGAGGCATCCGCAAACGCTAAGAAATTCTCAACGTCATCACACGTACCGGCGATAGCACCAACTATATCATCGATGTATCACTGGTACTTTGACTGCTGCATGCCCTGATACTGGGTCAGCATATGCTCCTCGATGTGGCCAACAAACAGACAGGCATAACTTGGTCCCATCCATGTGCCCATAGCCACTCCACTGATTTTGTGTTTGAATTGGTCTTTTTCGAGAGTGGAAAACTCAATCAAAATTTCTTTCCGTGTTGTTGACGTAGTAGTGTTGTGGGTGCATACTTTGGACTTTGTTGATAGGTTTGTCTCTTAGTCCAAGTATTTATCATCTACCATATTGGCATTTAAGCCTAAGGCACATGCACGTTTTTCATATTAGCAACCATAATATGAGTATTGTAAGCTAACTGATTTGATATCTCTTCACTGATAAGATGACAAGACTGACATTTTTAAACTCTAACTAAAGTGTACTTTTTCTGAGAAGGAAACAATTTTTAAGAATTGTTTGGCCTTAAGTCAGAAGTTGAGTTTTTTTCCTGTTTCAAAACTTCAGTAGGAGATTCATTCATCCTCAAGTTTAGTCTGCATTTACCCAGTAGGTGTACATGTACTTTAAAACGGAATTCCTAATAAAATACCTAAGACAGTGAGCCGGTCACGTTGCTAGTCCCAAATTGTTGATAAAGCACCAGCTGACTGATCTTAAACACTTTTCCAGTGTCACATGAAATGTAGACTCCTGTAAATCTCAACCTTATTCCCTTGTATTGTTTGAACATTCACCATCTTCACTTTTGTTTGCGTAATACTAACCTTGAGTCTGCATTTTCAGAGTCCCAATTTCACACTGCACTGGTTCATTGCATTCTTCGCCACTTAGCACAGTGCGTACCATGCACGCACCGATCCGCATGAGGGGATTGTTTATGACTATCCATGAGAAGCTCCATAGCGTGGCTCGAGGGGTGTTGAATAAAAATGAAGTAAAATTGTTGGATGTGTTCTTAAAAATGTTATAATTTGTAAGACTTGTTTTGATTGTCTCACTTAAAAGGTATTTATGAATAGGAATAAATTTAAGCTTGGCTGGCTAAGGAGAAAGGACACTGATCAGCATCCATTCTCCCAAGCACATGTATGAGTATTCGTTCACTCTCATTGCCTACATGTACATGTACATACATGTAGTGAAATTAAATGTTTTGTGATTTTTCTCCCTGTTTTTCATTTGTGTGTCAAAACAATGTGTCCAAAATAGCCCACAGGAGGTTCACAAAGACTCTAGTACAGTACACCCCTCTCCAACATTGGTTTATAAGTGCATACATGTACTAACTAACAAGAGGTAGGCCTGCACATGTAAACAGTTGGGGCAGGGAAAATCAGAATTCCCTTTACAATAACTGCTGTGTGCTTAAGGTGTGGGTTGGTCACAGATTATGTAGAGTGTCTGTCCCAAGAATACTGTACATAATGTATTTGGGACTCCCAGATACAAATACAATGTACGCTACTCTATTTGTCAAAATTTTAATGCTTAAATTTAGAGTCTTATCACAGCCTGCTTTTGTCAGAGGTAGAGACTACAAAAAGGAGACCAAGGTTTGATCCTGCTTAGAACTTCTTCATTTGATTGCTTACCACTTTGTTTTGATGTATTTGAAAGTTAAAGGGTTTTTCCAGATTTCAAGATTGTTGGCCCCCAAATTCTGTATTTTTAGATATGCACATGTTCTTATTCATATTTTGCTGCTTTTTACAAACAAAAGTTGAAAGGCTCACATAATCATAGGCCTGGATATAGAACACATACTTTGTTACCATTCAAATACCTGAAAAGTCAAAGCATTTTATTGTTGTAAACTGGATTTCTCTCAAGTATCCAATTTTCCCCTGAAGTTCTGTGTATGCGTTTCTTTTTGTAGGTCTACATGTTGCAGTTTGTACCCCACATTGTCTACCAATTAAACAGTTTGTGGGTTTTTGGTTTTGTTTGGGTTTTAGTTAAAATTCGTGAGATAAAAGAAATTCGTCCTGGCAAGAATTCCAGGGACTTTGAGAGGTGGCCAGATGAAGCCAAGAAGTATGACTCCTCACTGTGCCTGGTCATCTGCTATGGGGCTGAATTTAGACTCAAGAGTTTGTCTGTTGTCGGTAAGAAATCAACTCCGTGTTTCTTTGGCAAAGTCTGCCATTTTCTTACTGTATGTACATTGTAGCATTCACGTTAAAACATCAATCCTCATGTCTGATGGTAGTGTTCACAGCAGGTTAAACTCACACTGCAGTATTTATTCGATTCATTTCTCGCCAAAGTCAACATGATGATAAATTTGATGCATTGTCATAAGGACAGATAGCATCCTCACTCACATCATGGGTGCTTCACATATGCATCCCATGATTTATGGAAAAAAAACACCCCATCGCAAGTCACAGTGGGTAATGCTGAATGTGAACTCGCTGAATCGCAATATTGCTACCATTCTGCCATTGCTAATAAATGCTGGGCATTGTTGGATTTTCTTTGCAGCTGGCAATGCAGATGAAAGGCACAAATGGATCGTCGGGTTGAATTGGCTGGTGGAGGAGCACAAAAAGTCAACCTACCCGAGCAGAGTGGAATGGTCAGTTGATTCAATGATCTGGGGCAAAAATTAACACTTGGCGCCTTTTTAACATGTTGGACTGTCACTGCTTAATAGGTTAGCAATCCATAAAGGATAACCTTTCCACACGTATTAGTGCATTAAAGCTTCTAACATGGTGGAAATGATTGAAAAAAAGATTCACTCTATGTCTTTGGGGTTGTTTCTTCCCTTTTGACAGTATGGGACCTTTTGGTATGAGGGCATTCCCATGCAAAAGTGTACATTCTTGCTTTTACTAAGCTATAAAAATCATCGGAAATACGTAGTATCATTACCTTCAATTTTGATTTCATTTTTGTGAAATTTGTTTTTGTTCATGAATTACACTCAATATTGAGGACAGTAATGCCACGATTAATTTCCGCCTTTGCATGGAATCGCTGGTAGACATTTCTGGTGTGAGAAATTTCAATTTCTCAGATCAAAAATGTCAACATCTGCCAGTAATCCTTTTCAGAAGAGAGTGTAGTAGGCAGTGGAATTTTTCTCTTTTTTGATAACTGTTTTGCAGACTAGCATGGAATGGTAATTGATATATGAGGCTTGCTTATGAGGAAAACCTGTGGAGGTGAAGTTCACCAGTTCAGTAATTGCTGGCAAGCCTGCTGGATTGGTCAGCTTCCTGGAACTGCACAAAGGAAATTATTTTTTTTTACTGGAGGAGTATGAGGCCAAGTTATGTTTAAATTTAAAATGGTAATAAATTTGGCACATAACGGGAACTTTTTTTTTAATGTTTTGGCTGGAAATTTTCTTTTCTTTTTCTGAAGGTCATAAGTTTGGCTTTAAAAATTCTCTTGTTGATTGCAAAAATGAAGCACCTCATTTTGGGGACATGAGTTTGTTTCTGCATTCAGTTGGGAACCCTTAACAATAGAGGACAATAAGGTCCCCGATTGACAACTGTGTTCAAAACATATGGGTGGTCTTCTAAAAACAAACAAAAGAGGAACAATAGGGGGTCCCCAATTGCAGGCAGATACGCACTTATGTGGGTGTGTTAACCATATTTAATATATTTTTCTTTTTTCCCTCTTCTGACCGATTAACTGAAGTTGATATATTAAGGTTTTTTGGTAACATCAATCACCCAGACTAGAATGATATTTTTTTGGGGGAAACGACAATACTTAGAGAAGGAGCATTAATAACTGTGTAAGAGAATATCTTTAACTGACTCAGCATTTGCTTACATTCTTGTCCTTTTGTAATAAGCAAACTTTGGTCGCATATTTCAATCACTATACATTGATTTGAACCCAAGGAATCAGATTACCATTAATTAAAGGGCTCCTCAGCTTACAGACATTCACCTCCTGATCTCATGACTATGTTTTTATATTTGATTGGGGGAGGGGAATTCATGTGGTGAATGGCAGTCACATGTGTAGTTGGAAATTTGGTGTAAATTTGTAATTTGCAGTAACCCTGACCTAGAGAAGAGATTTTGGATTGTAGCCAATCATTACTTATGAATGCACTTTAATTTGTAATGATTTCCTTGTTTTTTTAATGATTGTTTATGTGATGTACAAAATTATCATAGTTTAAGGGGCAACAGTGCAGATCCATTGATCTTGATGCCTTTGCTGTCCTCAACTCCCTCAGTGGAACTTAAACAGATTTTTTTTGTTTTAACTGCAAATGCTTCCCCCAAATGTACAGTTGTGTCATTGCACCTCGTACATATTAAACATGTATTCAGGTATACATTCAGTTCAACTAACAAGTGATTACAAGAATTGCCGTTCACGTTACCTTTATGCACTGACATCTTGCATGTACATGAAGATAGGCTTTAACCCCAACAGTCCTCAATCTGTCCTTTCTTTAAGGGGTTGTTTCACACACCCTAAGCAGTTTAGGTTTTAAAAGTGCAACCAGCCTCTGCTTCAGACTGGTTTGTCATTCGGGAAGATTTTAGCGTTGTATCTGACTCTTCGACAATAATGGTGTCACTGGACTAGGGACCCTAGAGCTCATTGTAGGGTGATTCTCCATCTGTTCAGAGGGAGTATACTCTTAGAGTTACATTGACTGATTAAAGAAGTGCTGTCGGTCCACAGACATGTATTGGATGTAACATTGACTCCTACATGTGTGAGGTGCACATGTACAGGTTACAGTGCCAAGAAAGTGGGCATCCCAAATGTGCTGTCAGTGGATCAGATGCCTTCATCTCTGTGGACACAGAACCTTGGTAGTGATACATGTACATGTACTTGTGACCCAACCTGGCAAAGTACATGTAAATGAGAAGAATGGGCTGCCAGAATGCTCCTGAATCAGCACTCCTTAAAAATTCCCTGACAAATCACAAAGTATCCATCTGCCCATCAGGATGACAACTGGAGCGGGATCCATCTGCCCATCTGGATGACAAATGCAGCTGTACTAAGATGATGAACTGAGTGTACTCTTTGTTATGCATTGAAAATAACTTCACACAAAATGAGCTTGAAGTCACCAGTGCCACTCCTGAATTTGAAGCTTTTAAAGGAACTTTGCACAATGTAAATCAATTAGAACCTTTAACATTTTTCACCCACATAATGTCTGTTTTCATGAGCAAGCCAAACTGAGTGATGAAAAAGAGCCTGGTTTTGTTTTGTGCTCTGTCCCTATCAAACTAAAACAGACTTACTGAAAAAAATGGTCTAAAGTTTCATTTAACAAGATCTCAGGTCATACAGCAAACAAAGTTTTTAAACCCCATTCTGAGGGATGAAGGCCAAGTATTGTGTACGACTTTTTGGAAATTGATAACGACATACAGTAGCTGCCTCGTGTAGGTATACATGTGTTTATGTATATCTCAAGGAGATCACAGGTGGTAGTCTTTTCATACATTGCCATTTGATAAGCCCAGCCAAACCCATCAAGGGAATTGGAGGCAATATTTGCCTTGCCTTTTAAGCAGGAAAACGTTACTGATGTGCTTCACTACCATCAGGCACTTGAGACCCTGTAGTGTCTGCATACTCCAATGGTTTTCCCTCTCACCAGAGTATTTCCATGTGCATGGAAAAGTGTTGTTCCTGCGCCCACAGTAGCTCTTGACTCTTGGTGAATCTGTGAGCAAATACAGAACACCATTACTGCCCAGCGACTAGACAAATGTCAACTGAATTCTCAAACTGGTTTTCCCTGTGTCTTTCATGTCACTCTTCCATACATGTAAATGCATGTTCATTCAGGTAATGCTTTGAAAAATCTGCAGGCCTACATGTACATAATATTTCCTTGCCTTCTTATGCAGCCTTGATTCCCGGGATCATATGTGTTGTCCTGGGAGAGTGGAGTTTTGCTCTCACTTCTGATAGTGGAATTTCCTTCCTGGTCTCTCAGTTTCTCTCGATTCAGAGTTGGGCCCAGAGGTAGATTCATAGCAGCTGGCATTGATAGCAAAACAGATCCACTGGTGCAGCCAAAAAACTCCCTCTCTCCCATTGGACCTGTTGCCACCCCCCCTCCCCCAGAAAATCCTGGCCATGCCATTGAAAAGATCTTGAAATTCATTTTAACACATGTATTATGAAAACAAACTAATATTTTGGGGGGCTGTGCATAGTATCTTGAATGAATCCTGAACATTTAAGTATTGACATGCACATTCCACAGCTAGCAATGGAGAGCCTGCCTTTCAAAATTACATGTAACTTTATTCATCATTGACTCAGCCGTTTACCATGTTCACATTTCCCCCTACTCCCTCTGCTCCCGCAAACATTTTACAGATGCACAGAAATCCCCTCCAGAATACTGATGAATCATGAACTGAATCGGGACAGCTTCCAAACTGGGCGGCCAAATCATTTCGCTATAGATGATCTAACACCTACCCCTCCTCAATATGGTTACCTTAGGAATGGTCCTTTAAACATTAATCAGAAGGTCCCTATTGGTCATTACATGTATATTGTATGTAGACATCTAATTACATGCAGCTTTTTCAGTATGTAATGTTTTACAACGTGGTGTAGACTGTTTGCTGATTAGGATAAGGCTGTGCTTTACTGTGATATCACAGTCACACCCTGGCCTGCCTGGTGATAGTCATTTCGTAAGAATGTAATCTGTTACATCAGACTTTTGGCATGTACTGATTGAGGACAGCATGGCCACCTACAACATGTACAGGATCATATTGTGCCAATTTAGAATTGTGTACTGTGATTTATTACATTTACATGTATGTACATTTCATACATATATAATGTATGTGTATATGAACGTATTTGACAAGCCATGTTCTTGGGACATTTACTTTCTGCAAGATAGTATGCAAGACAATGAAAAGGGTTTTCTGCTTTAGTGCCCATGAGGGAATGGAGTAAGGCGGGAGTTCTATTCAACAACACCACTTTTTAATAGAAAAGATTATTATTAAGGCTGTAGAGCAAGGATACATTATCAGGTTCATTACATATTTTGACTGACTGTAAAATTCTGCATTTTTCAGTATGTAAATCATACCGTGAAAAAAACTTGATTTGGATGAAGAGCGAGTGCAGGTGACACATTTATTGATTAGGCTGTGGTTTACCCTAGCAAATACATGTAGATACTTGAATTCCTCTCTGAGCCTAAACAAGTACTAGTACTTGTATCTGTCAAACTGAACAATTGGCGTGCTTAGTTTTATGATAGCACTCTGTATACAGTACAAATCCGAGGTGTAAATTATGTACATAGAGTGTTGAACATGAACCAATTCGTTGTTTCGGTGTTTCGGCAGACTCCCAAATATGGCCAAACTAGAAAGTGACTGCATTGCATCTAGCACAGCATTGATGGGACTTTGACAGTGAAATGAAAATCCCAGGAAGTGGCAACATACCAGTTCTGAAACTTGATATACGAACCGTACGCTGTTCATATAGGCACCGACCACATACGCAAGTGGATGGGCTCACTGCTTTTTTTCTGACAAATTAATTCATAATTTACTGGACTTCTGTCCAATTATGCCAGCACTGTATGCATGTCATGCAAGCTCAAGCCCCATATGTTCATAAGTACCGGTACACGTATTATGACATTATTATTGTGCATCTAAGAGAAGGGTTAGAGGAGGTTTTCCTTTTTAAAGTACCATCAATGGTAAATCTGTGTGAAGTGTTATACATTTGTCTTGTACCACCATTCTCATCGTGAATTGTATCATTTCCTTTTTTCTTTTCTTTTTGCAAGAGCCTTGTGCTATTTTATCTTTTCGGTTCCATCTCTGTATGCTCAGTATATGCAGCTTTATGTTATTTTGGATCTGAGAGTACATCCAGCATGCGGCAAAGTGATGGGCAAGCCGTGTACCCTAAGGCTATTGTGCCTACTGCATCCCCGCTAGAAATCTGAAAGGAATTCCAAAGAATTCAACAAAAGAAGACACAATATTGGGGTGGTCTCCTTTGCCACAACTTGCACCAAATGTCTGATAGATTCATAAGAATCTCTGACCCTAATAATGACCACTGTTTGCATAATTATAAGAAAGCTAACTGGTCCCTGTTTCCTGCATTCAGGTGGTTACGTCGGGAGTTCTTTGCTTTGGGAAAGTCAAAAACTGATACGTGAGTATACATGTATTTACTGCACTTCAGTGGATGTGAAATGTATACAAATGGGCACAAGCATTTTTTTATTTATGTGTCAGAACCCCCTCCTGTTTTTTTTTTGATAACGGAGAATGAACAAGCATGCATAAAGCTGAAACGTCAACTTGTTAGTTCAAACTCTTTTAGTACTAAATCAGGTTAGCCATAAAGCCTTGGTCGTAAGTGTGCTTTGTGTTTAGAATGTTGATGTATGGGACCTGCTCTCCACCAAACAGAAATACTGATAAAACATTTAAGCTAGGTCAACTTGGGTACGTTTGAGAATTGACTTGAAATTTGCCAGATGTTCCCAGTTGCCAATGATGTCCAGCTTTGCCATGTTTCGTCGGTAAGAACTTTGTATTTCAGGGAACCTGAGAACTTACATGTACATGGGTGAATGTACCCATGAGCTGTATTCAAACAAGTGGAGAGGAATGTGCATCCTCCACCCTGTTGGGAGGAGGGGACTGGATGCATAGAGCATCCAGTCACAGATATCTGCTAGCCCCAGATCACAGTTGTTCAGCAAAATCAGGTCTATTGCCCAAGTGTCAAGCAATTTATATTGATCTTGCACGAGTGCATGAATTTGCAAGCACTGGGAAGTAGTTTTTTGTTAAACTCATCAGATTGGGCCTTATCATGGATGCTTTTACTCAGGTAACCAATTATGTGGATGTTTTTCTACCAGACTTGCAGAAAGTAAAATTTTCATTTTGGTTTTGTTGCATTCGAAGACCTTGGTGAGGACAGTGGTAAAAAGCACCGATCAAACTGCCATGGAAGATTTTCAGGGAAAAAGGTTGGAGATGATTGAATTTTATACGGAGGTCTTTAGGTGATGGATGCTAGTGCTAGCCAATGGGCTGTTGACATCCCCAACCAAAGGACCTGGATGTTGCCTTTAGCGAGTAATGAAAGTGATAACTCTAGTGCTGAAACTTGTTTGTGTTTTTCCAGGGTGTCACTCAGGGACATGAAGTCATTCATGCCATATGTCAACCTGAAGATGAACACAAAGGACCTGAAGGAATACTTCAGTGTAAGTCCTCCAGAAGCCTACCACTACTGCCACTTTATACATCAGTTATTTGTCTTTTTGAATATTTTACTGCCAGTTAGGTTTTTGCTTAGCACTTCAATTAGCAGCAGATAATATTACTATGTGTGTTAGATCACCTAGCTGTGTGAATTTTGTCTTGTTGATTGTCTAGGTTCCGAAAAAGTTTCAAGTACTGGAAAAAGTCTCAATGTGACTATTGCAGAAAGTAAAATAAAAAACAGCATTACTAGTTGGTTGCTCATTTGGAATATTAATAATAGATATGGAAATGAATAATTTTTTTGGGGGGGGGGACATTTTCCAACAGGAAGTAGATCGGTGGAACAAGCAAGAGATTGGCTATGATGGCTTTGTTCAGCTTTACCATAACCTCATTTTCCAGAGAGAGGTAAAATAAAGGATGCCTTTCCTGTTCCTTCGATAACAGATTTCCGTAATCTGTGTAGTGGAGGCTTTAAGCCTTTTGAAGCAGAGCCCATAATCGTGAGTGTTGGACATGACTTTTAAACAGACTTGGTCATCGGAAAGGAATAGTGGAGCAGGGAAGGTGGAGTGGAGCTTTTTGCCTGGTTGGTTAGAGCACATTGGGGCATCTGATGCCCCTCTGGGACTTCCGATAGATGATTTAATTCTCTGAGTATTTTGCAGAACTGGCCTGTGGCCAAAGCACGTTTCCTTGAATTACCATTCATTTTTAGCGTTGAACAGTTTGTTGGTTTGATGCTTGATTAGGAATTTCATTGTGTATTATAAAATCACTCACACTTCACAAAGAATACCTAACCATTATACTATTTATGTCTCCCCACGCACCATTTCATCATCAGACCCTAACATACAATTATGGTGACATGACAAGCTTAATCTTTGTACGTTTTACTTCCACTGACAGGTTGCTGATAGGTTCAAAGAATACATCGATGAGAGGTAAGGCATACCCTGAGCAGACTTTAGTGCACTCTTGATAAATTAAAAAGTGTGTTGACTGTCGTCGAGGTGTGATATCATGTTTGACTTGATGCAGGCTGTGCGTCTCAAGAATGTGGAGGTTGGTACAGGTGCAAGTCAATGTACATTGTATTTGTATCACTTGAAATCTGAGCTTCATTTCTCTGCTGTACTTGCAGTTTGTAAAGGTTTTACTGGCGAAGATTTAGATGTGCTCATATTTGAGGTGTGGATTTGATTGATATTGCTGGCCTGTTTGATTAAGATTGGTGAATAGCACAATGGCAAATATTTTCACCAACCTCTAAAGTACAACCCACTTCAGAGGTCAGCATGTGCATTCCGTAAAATGTAATCAGAGTAAGACAAATATGAAATGTGAAAGAAGATAAACAAACCCTGCAAATGTCTCATTGTTCAGACGATACTGTTACGGAATATTAGCCTCATTACACATTGAAGTACCATTGCAGGGGGAGGGAGGAAGAATTTATTCCCCTCCCAATATTTTTTAACAAGTGCCATGTGCTTTCCCCGAGTACCCTGTCTATTTTACGAGTTCCCTTTTCACGAGTTCCTTTCACCAGTGCCACACTGGTGTCTTTAATTGTGCCAGAACAGTCCCACCTGTTATCCTGTACCGTCTATTTTGATCAGCACCACCATAGACGGGTTACTTAAGGGTGAAAAAGCAGAGTCTGTCTTACAGCGTGGATATTAATTGTCCCTTTTTTACATCTATCCCCCCCTCCCAGTCAGAATCACTTTTGGCCACACCATTGTTTAATACATGTTTCACAGTGTATCCTGTATGAATAGCAGTGTTTTGCCGGCAAAACCAGTCCACACGCAATGTGTTTCAGCAGTGTAGAGAACTCCAGAAACTTTTGGAAAACACTAAAAAATCACACTTGGCACTTAAGGCAGCAGTGATACAAATGTAGACTGTGTTCACAGAAACATGCGGTGTTACATTACTATTGGTCACTGTCTGGGGCTTAATACTGCCCAGTGCAACTGCCAGAGTGTGTCCCAGTGTTATGGCTGCGGCTGGCAATAACATGGAGCCAACAAGCTAGCGTCTGCAGCTGGTTCCCATAGACTTGTTTATTATTGCCAGCTCTAGTCATCAGATTTGGACACGGCCACACAAGCACCTGTTCACACCACCAAACATGCCGAAAACAGGTTGCAGCAAAAAGAGCAACATTTGTCCCTTTTCCCTGAAATTTGTATCACTGATTTCCTGTTAAAATTCTGATCACACACAGGAAGTAGCCATTTTTATGCTGTAGAGTCAGGCTATGTATCCTATTATATTAATTTTTTGGTATTTTCATTTTATGATTTACAAGAAAAACGAAACAAATTGAGTTTAAATACATGTAAATCCAAGTGAAACATATGGTGCACTTGTTTAAATTGTTTTTCAAGATGTGTTCTTTGGTAAAAACAGTGATATCAGGATGTATGTGGATAAAAGTCATCAGGACTTTGATTTCCTCTTTCTTTCCCGCATAATATATTAATGTAAATATCTCAAGTTCTTACGTCCCTTGTAATAACTCTGTTACTTCCTCCTAGGTATAACTTTCAGGAACAATTTAATTTCCATTACTTACATGTATACTCTGTTTTAAAAAAAATCTCCATTCCCCCAAACTCATTGATGTTTTCCTATTTGTTCATGTGCGCTTACTCATAATGTATCCAATCTGATTTCCTCCTTTGTCTGTTTTGTTTGAAACTTAGGATATTATTTTGTTTCTTTCAGAAATCTGGTGACTGTGAATGGCATGATCCGCTTTCTTGCTCAGGAGCAGAAGGTAAAGGAAGAGTGACATATAATTGAATTAAATGGAAATGGAAACTTCTTGTTCAGATAGTTTGTTCAATAGTTTTAATATTTATTGTTGAGAGCGGTATGGTAAAGCTAGCATGCAATTGGTACATCTGGCACACACCGTTTTCTGAAAGCCGAAGTGAACCTCAGCATTTTAAGGAGTACCCTTTGGAAGCTAGTTTTACAGCATCACAGTCAAAATTGATTTTGAAGCCCCTTGGTAACAATTCTGCACTACGAAAGAGATATTTATTATTCATTGAAAAAATGCAAATGCACCCATTTTTCAATTGGAATTGATTGGAAATCCACCTGCACTTTTGTACACTTTATCACCGAACAAGTATTTACACTGGTTAATCCTATAACAGATCATGCCATTCAGAATGTGCATACGCAGTTGTATAGCAATGGCCTTCCCCATTTTATGACTCTGATGTAGTCTCTTCGTGAGTGGAAAGTGGTGTACATGTAGTAGAATTAGTAAATAACATAGGACACAAAACCGGAGATAGATTCTATGGATAAGATAAGGAGAGGATTTGTATTTGTAATTGAGTAAGCAATAACAAACAAAGGGGCTTATGCAGCTTATTGACTGAAATAGAATGATGGTACAATGCACAGACATTTTAAAAGCAATACAAAAGTGCTTTGAGTGACTGTAAAAATGAAATTTTTTTTCTGCATAAATTTTTCTCTAAGGGATTTAATTTATATAATTCCATTTGTCACAATTATAGAAGAAAACATTAACAGAGTTTGTAGCACAAGTGATGATCATTATAGTGACTTAACATTGTGACATTGATTGAACTAGGGTGACGTGGTGTCACGGATGTGCACGTGAAAACACCAAAGAATGTAATACGGTGATGCAAGATGCTAATCCCTGAGTTTAATAACACAATTCCACGAGGAATCGGTGAAACTGAAATAAATGAAATTGATACATTTAAATAGATTAGAAGTTAATAAGTATAAGAAATTTAAACCCCAATTATAATTAAGTCTAAACTACACATTAAGCACACAGACAATCTTCTATCAAAATTCAGGGATTTTGCCGCTTTGCTAAACGAGATTTTGTCACCTGCAGTTGTACTTTCAAATGAATTTACAACATCTTCAATGTCCAATACATAAATCACTCCCTCAGTTGTGCACATACATTATCACATGTATCATTACAACGTATGTTTAATTACACACTTACAAATCGTACGGGGGATCGACACCCCTGGAATACACGCAGTGAATTGTATTCAAGATTGCTACTGAAATAAACGGGTTAGCAGGAGGTTTCAGGGTTTACAGCGGTATTCTGGTGCTGAAAATACAAAAATAAACCGAGCAACTATAAGAAAATAAACATCACAAATAACATATCATAACTGGTAAATACATGTACAAACACACATATAATTTCGTATCGGTGCATACGCCCATGCAAAATACGAGGATAAATCTTCCACATATCGACTCAAATTACGAACAAATGTACACGACAGTGTTGCAATGAGTTTCCCAAGTCATGTAAGAAAAAGTATAAATAAATACAGAGTGATCTCAAATATACATTATAGGCACATTTTCTATCTTAAACATGAAGAAAATGCAAGTGAACTTACAGTCTTCAGCTTCCGACGGCATTTAACGAAGACTGACCCGCATTGGAATTTCCCGCACTGATATACTTGGTAAGATCACATGGCAAGGGAATAGTGCAATGTGATTGGCTGAATGATACCACGACCTAATTATGCATTGCAAATTACATACCAATGAATAATAATACATAAAGGAATGTAAGAACCGTGTGGCCTGACATCGCATGCAAATTTAACCCAGTCATAAAAAAGAATCTTCAAAGGCAACAATTTGCACAAGTCGAACCCAGCTTGACTAGACATACTGTACTATGCAAATTACACTACACCAAATTGCTACAAGGAAAATAGCTTATTGGCGACGATAACACTAGGTCCACTATCAATTATGCTAAATTATTTGCAAAATGAGGACCATAAGAAGTTGAACAGGTCTAAAGTTGAACAATATCTGAACACAGTCAAGGAGGGCATTACTGGTACATTTCAAGTATATTTAAAAATATGCCCCTTACTATGGTACATTTGTAGTTAACCCCTTGACGGCGGGAATTTCTTGCCGAAAACTGACTCCAAGCATTCTAGCCTTGCTTGGCCACGAAGGCCACCTGCCAAACCGCAAATTCTCGGTTTGTGGCCCTGCGTGCTCTGCATGGGAAGGGGTTAACCAGACATGAGATGCTCAGACTGGCATTCTGAGTGCTTTCCTACTAATCTAGGTGACTCTCAGAATGCAAATAAAAAACATAGAAACTGGGATTTTCTACCTACCCACCACTTGAATTTTATTTTTCCTAAATAATTCCTCGCATTCACATACGCAGCCTGAGGAACAGTGTCAAAGCAATTCCACGGCTACCTATACTGGTTGGTGTTATTTGTAATTCCAGTACTTAGCTGTTGATACGATGCTTTATATGATTTTAGAATCACTTTCTACGTGCTAGCTGAGCTTGGATCCACTATTGAGTGATTTTTTCCCATGCTTCAGGACACTGTGGCAAACAATCCAGTTGCTGTCAAATCCTTGATGGAATCATTCCTCTCTGGCCTCGGCCGACCCTGCCAGGATTCAGATCCCAAATTCACAGTGCCGGAGGTGAGTCTGTTGATTCTTGGTTAGCATCTGATGCATGTTAAATACCTCAAGGTATTTCACTGTAGCCACTGTTCCTACAAATCAGATGGCACCTCTTGATTGCTTTGATCTTGGCCTTTGCAAAGACAGATTTTCTTGAAACTTGATGACATCCAATTCTTTGACCCTCTGCAAAGTTTTGAATCGGTTGTTTGATTATAGTCACTAGTATTTAATTTACAATCGGAATATTTTTTTCCGGCACAATTTAAATTGTTTGTAATTCTTTTTTCCCCCACCTCAGTTTCTTTTGTACTTGTTCTCGCCCGAGAATGAAATCTGGGACAAGCGCTATGATGAGATTGTTGATGACATGAGCCAGCCGCTCTGTAACTACCTGATTGCCTCCTCACACAATACGTAAGCGTTTGGAGGAAAAAGTCATAATTTGACGGGATGATGACACATGAGGTTACCAGTGAGGAACCTTGCTTCACTTCATCCATAGGTTCTTTCTTGGTGGTGATTAGGATGTAGTGATTTTTTCCCCACATATTTAAAGGCCTAAGGTGTGATTCAGAAAATTTTGCTGAGCCAGTTAAATATGTGGAACAGATATTAGCTGGGAATAAATATACAATGCTGTAAAGTTCAGTTGGTTACCAGTTTTTGCGCGGCAAGTACTCTCTGCACTCAGCATTTTCCTATAGGTGCTTGGCAGCTCTTAAAAATGACTCCATTTGTAAAGGGGACCCTCACTTCAGAGTTAAATTCAAACTGTTACCATTCGAAGTCCTTCAGGTGCATAAAGCATGTACACTAGACGTCTTTACATTGAAGTTCTATCACTGGTTAAGGAGCAGGATTTATGCTGAAAAGCTGGTCTCAGAGAAATGGTCTGGGATGGGGGCAGAGACCACCCCCCAAAAATAACTTCTGTTTGCCAGTTGAAACTGTGAAAGTAAAGCCTGAAAACGACTCCTGACAATTGCTGCTGTATTTCATTGAAAATATTTGTATGTTGTGATTTCAGATATCTTACAGGGGATCAGATTGCCAGTGAGTCATCATGTGAGGCCTACGTACGCTGTCTACGCATGGGTTGCAGATGTCTGGAACGTATGTCATGTTAAATGTCTTTTTAGAAATACTCAAAACTATACCAGTTACCAGGCAGGGAAAAAGAATGTACTCTCTGCAGGAATTTGATTGTAAACTAGTAAGGAGAATTTTAGGGAGGGTTGTATCCGTTCTTAGCATGTATCATGATGTCTAATGTAATGTGGGCGAAGGGTCATTTTTACTTGATTTTCAATACAGATATGGATGGTTTCTAATTTTACAATTTTGTCTAACTGAGGAAAAATGTTATCCAATTTGTGTTGATAGTTGACTGTTGGGATGGACCAGAAGGAATGCCCATAATCTATCATGGCCTGACCCTGACTTCAAAAATCAAATTCATGGATGTTCTGAAGACGATAAAGGAACATGCTTGGGTGCAGTCAGAGTGAGTTTCTCTGGGTTTTCCCTTGAAGTAGTCCTACTCAAATGGACAGAATACAGCAGCTGGGCATAGATCAGAAAGTTTCTTTCTTTTCTGCTCAAATTCATCAAGACCCTGTTGAACTTACCTTAGTCATGTCTGATTTGGCAGTTTGGTCCAAATTTGATTATTGCAGTCCAATTTGGCATTCATGTTATTCAGTCTTAGCTCACGTGTCAAGTTTGAGTGGTAGATCGTAGGTCATCAGTCACAAGTCACAGGTGAGAATCCTAGTCTGTGACAGGGAAAATCTTGGTTTGGCTCAGGAATGGGGTTCCGTTGTAAACTGGGATTTAATAGATGTCTTTAAGTCGGTTTCCTTTTGTTTTCCTATTTTTTTGGACCAAGAGATGGAATGTAAACCCCAAAACTACCCCCTCTCTGATAACTCTGCCAGTGGGTAGATTTTGTGTCGTGTGTGACAAATATGCTAACCAGCCTTTGGAGGCCTTGTACATTACACTGAGAAACTACTGATGATGATGTCTCTTCTTTGATTTTTTTGTTCTGCCCATAGTTTGCCCATCATACTGTCGATAGAGAACCACTGCACACTGATACAGCAACGTAACATGGCCACATCATTCCAGGAAGTTTTCGGGGGTAAACTTTTGCCTTATATTTGCATATACTACTTATTTTAAACAGGTGTAGCAGTGGATTGGCATGGATTGCCCATATCCTCTCTCAGTATGAGATAACTTGTCTTGGAAATTTCAATGCAGCTGTGAGAAAAATACCAAATTCTCTCTGAGGGGCCGTCCATTTTCGTCGTCGTTCTCACACGTCAACAAAGCACACTTTTTTCTCAGATCATCCTCCCCTTTAGCATGTACAGAAAGAAAGGAAAAAGTCCAATTACCATCAATTTCAATTGTTATCAAAAGTGTACATAACCTGATAACCCTTCCCCTGGCATACATTTTGTATGGTTGTATAATGACAATGGTGGATGACCTCTAAACATGTAAGTAGATCATTTCACTGAGGGATAAGTGCTCTTAATTGTGACTAGAATAAAGGGCAAGTCTTTATAATTTTTGTATTCCAGTAGCAGGAACTTAAATTGTGATTTCTTTGGAAGTTAAATGAAATCTGTCCTGCTGACAACTCACAGAAATAGTGTTTGTTCCTGCCGTCCTAGGTCTGAAATGACTGCAGTTGTTTTGTATTCCCTGTGGGTGAGATGACGGCAGGTACTCTTCAGCAAGAGCTATGTATAGTGTACTTGTTAGTAGAGAGAAGTTTGTGAAATGCCTTGTTGAAGTGCACGGCACCCCAATGAAAAATGATTGAAACCGAATCTGGTCACAGTTTCCAAACTAGACATTAAAGTTTCTTCCCTGATCTCAGTGGAGGAAACTACATGTACCTGATCTTAATGGGTTTTCTATCCCATTGTGTCTATGCACAGATGCTCTTCTGACCCAGCCAGTGGATCGCGATGCCACTACACTGCCCACCGTCAACCAGCTGCGGAAGAAGATCATCTTGAAGCACAAGAAGCTGACGGGAGCCAGTGAGACTTTCAGCGTACCAACTGAAGAAAGTGAGTTCTCTTTTACACTAAGAAGAACCATCCTTGTTATTGATCAGGGATTTTTGAAAGGGAAAAACTCAATAATTACAGGCTTTAAGCCTCAATTGGACCTGATTCTACCTCCTGGTTGATAATGTAGACGTCCACCAAGCCATTCAGTCAGAAATTTTTTGCCACTATCATCCTCACACACCAATCCTATTCAGCTCCACTTGGGCTCCTCTGATCCTTGTCCCATGTGTCCCCATTTCCGCATTATCCAATGTTGCAACCATAATTATGGGACTTTCAGAACCCGCCATAAACAGACCAACCTAAATGACAACACAACAGATGAACTGGCCCCCAATGCCAACGCACATAACCGAACATAATAACTGTTACACAACTGTACTGGAATCATTGCAAACAGCCCCAAAATACTGACATTTTAAATGATTTTTGTTTTCATGAAGCAAGGCTGGTAGGCTTGAATTCTATTTTCCTGGTTGGGTGAACTGAGCTTGAACCCTTTTCCACTCTACAATTTTATCCCTTTTGTCCAGAGAAAATGTACATTGAACGTTCATAAATGTGTAAAATAATTTACCTCAAAATGGTTAAGCTTGTTCTGAGCTTTTGGAGACCAACAATCTTCATCAAGTAACAAAGTTTGAAACATGGTAGATTGCACGTAATCACTTTTTTCCTTCCTGCACTGGTTGTTATCGAGAGCACAGCCACCCCCTGTATATATCTATGTGAGTCAGTATGAAACGGAACTAACAAAGTCAAGTTAGGCTATAGCGCGGTGCCCATCATTGTACAAGACCCTGTGCATGTGCACGGCTTCAACACGTGCCTGTGGAAAGCAATTGGATGCTCTGGAAAAATGGGTGATAGAAGCACAAAGCTTGGTGGACTGTAACGTGAAAAGTGCTGTCGATCACAAGATTTAAAAGACTTGAAAATGAGCTGAAAGTCACCAGTTTGGCTGTTAGTGGTCTGTCAACATTATTCTCGACCAAGTGTTGATTTATGGCACATGAGAAATGACTGGAAGAGAGACTAGGGGTGTCGCAATTGAGCAATTGGAACTACCCCTCTAGGCAATCACTGCATGCTGTGTATGTGGCTAGCATACAGTACGGCAGTGTAAACCTTGCGATACTGTGGCTGGATGAAATCTTGTGAAGTCTGCTTAAAAGTGTGGCGCAGCCAGGAAATATGCTTTCGTTTTGGAAATTAGTAGGAATACACATTTTGTGACAATTAATACCTATTACTTTGTTCGGGTGCTTTGAAAAATGCTGTGCACACATACCGGCGATTTTCATGATTTTCAGTTTTCAAAATTCTTCAAAAATTCATCATTTCATTTAATGGACGTTTACACCCACACGAATGACTCTTTGGACACGAATGAGTCTTTGGTGTCTACTCTAAGCTGACAGGCAACATTCATTGACTCCTGAATATTTCAGCCAGGCCTGCTGCCCTGTAAAGAGAGCCCAGAATTGTGAGGTGTTGCATGATTTCCTTTGTCCCCAGTAAATGCCAGTGGTGTATTTTCAAACACGGCTGGATTAGCATGTAGCGATGCTGTATTGCTCATCAATGGGGCCCTGGAGCACTTTTGTCCGCGGTGTTAATCTGCGGCCGCACTTTGCCCAAAACAGTGGTAAACTGTTTAAAAATAGTGATAGATTACCTCTGAAAAATGCAAGCCGAAAAATGACACAGCAAGTGGTTAACCCCCTTCGCTATGGAGGACTGCTACTACCGCACCATTGTGTGAGGATTAGTGCATACCACACATACGGTCTATTCACCATGCAGCTGTTGGTTCAATGGGGCCTGCTGCTGGACAAAGCCCTCCATTCAGGGCATACCACAGCCCAGCAGTCGCGGTCAAAATAATCCCACCGTGAAGGGGTTAAAGAAATTTAACCAATTGTCAAACAGATTGTAGTAGTCCGCAGTACTGCGCTTGTTCACTTTTCATCACTCTGCCTTGCCGTATAATTCTTGAAACTATTTATGAGAAGGTTGAAGTCCTCCATTTCACAGGGAAGCCCACGAAAAACTGTGAAGACCTTTCTGATGTGATCAGGTTATATTGGGTTGCAGTCACACGTGTTAAACTCAAGACAGGACTCAATTTGATGGCCAGTCATACATTGCTCAATGTCCTTGTGGCATTTTGAACTCCACTCCTACCTTGTGTTGACTTTTATTATTTTTTATTTCTTTAAAATTTGTGTTATGTGCAGTGTCTGGACTTGATGTGAGGAACTCTCTGAAGAATGGAATTCTTAAGATTGAGGACCCAATGGATGTGAGTAAACCATCAGTTTACACTGAAAAGATTTCAGTGGTACACTTTCTGTCTCCCACCAGTCAGCAATCTGACATGAATAAATTGTCGACACTGATCCACTCACCCAAATAAGCCCTGTTACTTTCTTTCCTCTCAAGAATGAGTGGGTTCCCCACTTCTTCATGTTGACAACAGAGAAGCTTTTCTACTGTGAGCAGACTCAGAACGTTGGCAACCAAGATGATGATGATGACACCAGCAGTCAATTGGATATTGTAAGTACTGTACTGTGGTTTCAAAGGTTTGACATTTGTAGAGTGACCAATATAGACAAGTTCAGTGAAAAGCAGTGGAACCCCTTACTGCGGCGCCATCTTGTTCACACTTAGGTAGTCACTGCCCATTACATTCCTCTCTGACTAGTAGGGTGTTGTGAGTTAAGACATGTGCATGAGTGCGATGACCCCACAGGAATAGCATCTTCTGTGATTTACAGTAACCACGAAATGTACATAAATGTAAGGGTCATTAGTAATATAAGACGATCTGTGTCTGTCAGCTGGAAGCCACCGGGTGGTAAATTCTTGCAAATTGAGTATTACTGGATGTTTTGAGGCTGAAAGAGAAAATGTTCATCTCATCTTGTAAGTTGAAATTGACAAGGAGGTGTTGTTTAAATGTCAAATTACATGCACCGCCCTCATGCATATGAGGTGGAGAAATTAAACATTACTTTCCATCAATAGCAGTGTCATTTTCCATGTTGATGAAAAAGGCATTCGTTACACTTCAAGTCCAGAGGGTTGAAGGAATCTTGTTTGCATGTCTTCCAAAATTTCTAAAATTGTTGTGATTCATCAGGCAGTTTTTCAAGGAGAAACTATTTATTGCGATAATAATAATAACAATAATAATTTATTCATTGATAAAGTGCAAATTCCGAATAGAATTTGTTCAAATGCGCTGAACAATAAAATGACTTAAATATATACTAGGAAAACCACACTAAAATATTATATCCATGACGGACCATAGTACATCTAAAATTATAATACAAGCAGAAACAGTAATAATTAAAGAATTATAAATGTGAAACATCTGTGCAAATGAAATTTGTAAAAACACCTAACGAAGCTTAATACAATGTTGCAAAATCAAACCACAAAATATAACATCCAGATTAATAAAAGGCCGATTTAAAAAGATGGTTTTTAACATCGACTTAAAATTACTAAGGCTACTAGCTCTCCTAATGTGAATAGGTAGGGCATTCCAGAGGGTAGAGGCAGCAATAACAAAAGCGTGGTCCCCAAGGGTGACTTTGGTGCCATGAAAAGGGTGCCCGAGAAGAGTGTCGTCATGTGAGGATTGTAACGAGATGAGGGCTTCTTTATGATAAGCTGGCTTAGGTAAACTGGTGCTAAACCATAAAAACATTTATAAGTCAACAACAATCCTGAATCTGACTGGAAGCCAGTGAAGATCGATTATTAACCCTAACCCTCCTCAATCCTTCACCTATTGGAGGACTGAGGAGTGTTAGGGTTAATGGTGTAATATGACACTCATGTATTTGATAAGTCACACACATTGGTTGTAGAGGCACATGATGGATGTGACCCACTTACCAATGACGGTGGTACTGCTACAGGAATGACTCCCCGCGCTGGTCACCAAAGTAGCCAACACTCTTGACGAGTTCCCGTCTCCCCCATTCCCCCTGGTCTTTGATAGCAAGCCACCCCCAACGACGAGCTACACTTCTCGGAGCCTTGGTTCCATGGCAAGCTCAACAGCAATAGTGACGTTCCGCCCAGGATGCTGGCCGAACAGCTGCTGACCCAGTACCAGAAGGGAGATGGCACCTTCCTGGTGCGAGAGAGTGAGACCTTCAAGGGAGACTACTCCTTGTCTTTCTGGTAAGCGTCCAGGGAGAAATATCCCTCATAAATGTAAGTTGGGCAGGGATGTGATGTCTCAGTACTTCTCCAGATAAGGATTTTCAATCCTGAAATCCTTGTAAGTTTGAGTTGTAATCGCTAAAATCTGACCTACATTTTGGCTAATGATCTGGCTTATCATGTAGAACCCATGCAATGTAATTTTTAAAAATTAGTTTTTGCAACAGTGCTCTCATTTCTCTGAAAAAGTATGGAAAAGTATTCAGTATTTATAATACCACCTGTCAAGGGTATTATTGTTTGCTTAAGATTTTGATTTTTGAAAGAAAAAAAAAGCAAGATATATCTGCCAACTTTTGATATACAGCCAAATGCCGTAAATGCTGATTTAGTACATGTACACTTTAGAGGGTTTGCGTGGCTTCTGTCTTGCAGGCCAGTGTTTTTGCTCTATGGGGTATACACAATGGAGGTTTCCCTGTGGATCAAAACAACTGCCCTGCAAGATGGCTACCATGCAAAGCCTCTGTTGCCTTTATGTTCAGAGGTCATGTGGAGGGGCATTGAGGCAAGCTTGACACCCGGACCCATCAGCTGTGCCTGTACATACAGACAGCTAGATTGCGTTTACATGTCCTTTACCAACTTCTATTTACATGTACATGTATGTACACTTAGTCAAGTGGTAAGACATCTGCTTTGGTAAGGAGGAGGTCGTGGGTTCGAGTCCCACCCAAGTAGACTTTTGGACAACACTGAGTGTACAGCGTTCATTTATACAGTGTTTAGCGAAGGTTTAACACCCGATGTAAAATGACAGATAGTTTTGACATGGAAAAAGATTACAAAATTGTACAAAACATGTTCCCAAGTATAATTCACACCATTGACTGTGTCAGTTTGGAGTGCCTGTAGTAGTTGGACAAACTCAAAGCGTTGATAGTCTTAGCCCCAATACAGAACTTCATTATGTCTTCAGCTGCCATGTAACTCTATTTTGAGCCAATATTCAGTCTTGAGTCGAACATTTGGAGTGAATAATATGGAGCCTTTCAGTTTGTTCCCGTCATCATGCAGTAATTGTGTTTGCCCTGGCTGTTTTTTATCACTCCTTTTGCAGCTAAATTGAGTTAATCAGGTAATATATACAAAAAATCTCCGTCTACCCACGTCATTAACCACTACCTGCCGGGGACTCCGAAATCGGAGCCGTATAGTTTATATGCGTGGCCGGGGTCTCCGAACTCAGACAAAGG